TGAGATAGGTTCCCACAGTGCATTGCTCACACTGTCAATGATCGTGTCCCAACTGTGGACATGCTCTGCTGACAGAGGCAGCGAGCGTGAATATGCAATACTGATTTTTATTCTAGTGCTTTTTCAGTGTCGACATAATTTTTGTTGACAAAACTCTGTAGTAGCCAAGGCCTAAGTCATGGTTTTCTATTTTGGAGCCTCATGTGGATTGCATTAACTTCAGAATGAATCTTCTCCATTCCATTTCAAGGAATTAATTTACCATTGGCCCTAACCAAGCTCTCTTCCAGCTCGGGGACATGGGCCTCAGCCTTCAGTGGTAATGAATCATGATATTATTGGTAAAAGTAGAGTCTAACTGAATAATTTTCTTGTGCTGCTGATATTAAACACAACAATATAATTTTTACCTATCCCATACCGTGTTTTCTATTGGTAAGATGAGTGTTTTCTTGCAGAGATTTCTCCCCTCCCTCAGTCCTATATTTTTTAAGGACATGTTTTTGTGCAGTCCATGGGGTCCTATAGACCAGGAGTTCTCAACCTTTTTCCTTCTGAGGCCCCACCAACATGCTATAAAAACTCCACGGTCCCCCTGTGCCACAACACCTGTTTTTCTGCACATAAAAGCCAGGACCGGCATTGGGGGTAGCAAGCAGGGCAATTACCCAGGGCCCCATGCCACAGAGGGCATCACAAAGCTAAGTTGCTCAGGCTTTGGCTTTGGCTTTGGGTGGCGGGGCTTGGGGCCCTGGGCTGCAGCCATGTGCGGTGGGGCTTTGGCTTTCTGTCCTGGGCCCTAGTAAGTCTAACTCTGGCTATGCTTGGTGTACCCCCTTAAACCTGCTCACAACCCCACAGGAGGCCCCAGACCCTGGTTGAGAACCACTGCTATAGAAAGGACAGCATCTACATTTCCTGTCTCCTCTCTCTGTCAAATTATCCAATACATATTTGACGCTGGACTCTGAAATGTCCCAGGATTAATATGTCTGCCTTACTCATTGCTCTACATCCCTTCAAATATAATAAAACCTCATGACATTCAAGCAATATGCTTCCACTACAGGAAGGCTTATACCTACATGCTCAGATATGCCTGGCATTTAGCTCAGTTTGTACTGCTGTAAATTTAGGATGAAATTTCATTTCAGAAAGACTGGATGTGGTCCACTTTACCTCGAGTTATTGACCATCTCCGCAGTCTGACACTGAGGTCATCAGGCTCATTCTTTGTGATCTGCTTGTCTTCTCTAGCTTGGCTTTCATCCTCTGTAGGCTTTCCCCATGGGCGGTAGGACTCTGCCTCCCCTGGCCCTGATACTGCCACTGGACCCCTGGTTGAGGGGTTTGGTGGGGGAAGGTTTTGCTTTATTTTGCCCCGTGCAGGTTCTAGGGTGGCTGAGGAGGTGGTATGTGCTATTCAGCTTCCTTGATTCATCAGTAATCTCCCTAGACTCTAGAGAGATTACTGATGGTCCTAGGATGCTGAGCAGCAGATACTGCCTCCTCAACCGCCCCGGAACCTGCATGGGGCATATCAAAAGCTCAGGCTCTTCTTCGGGAGAGGCTCCCCTCAGCAAGTTTCAGGGTGGGGCGGGCTCGGAGCTCCCCAGGGAACGTGCGGGAGTGGGAGGCTCAGGGCTCCTCTGGGCAGGTTGGGGTGGGGGGTTCAGGGCTTTGTCCAGCCCAGGGCTCGGGGCTCCTCCGGGTAGGTGTGTGTGCGTGGGTGCTCAGGGCTTTGGCCAGCCCGGGGCTCCTTCCACCAAGGGTGGGGGGCACTCAGGGCTCCTCTGGGCAGGGGAGGCCTTATTGCTCTGGCTGCAGTGGGGGAGGGCCTGGGGCTCTGGCTGTGTGGGAGGCAGGGGGGGGGGCATGGGGCTCTGGTCTGGGGGGGGAAGAAGGGGTGGAGCCAGGGGCTAGTCTTCCCAAAGTGGGGGCTCCACCCGCCACCCATGGCCCCATCCTCTTGAAGAGACTCTGGATGGAATCTTGAGCCCTTTGAAATAAATGGCTAAACTCACTTCAGTGAGGCCAGGATTTCATCCAGATTATTTACTGCTCTGCGTCGAGGTGGTGGATTCACTCCACAGGGCACCCTGCTCCAGTTAGCCAGGCAGCCTCAGCATCTCAGGCCTTGTCTACCTGTAAAACTAAGGCCGAACAAGGTATGTCGCTCAGAGGTGTGAAAAAGTAGTTAAGCCATGGGTAAGCAGCCCCAAGCCCTGATATAGACGCTGCTAGGTTGATGAAAGAATTCTTCCATCAACCTAGCTACCGCCTTTGAAGGGAGCGGATTAACTGTAGTGACGGGAAGACCCCTTCTGTTGTTGTAGCAAGTGTTTACGCTATGGTGGTAGAGTGGCACCGTAGCAGCACCGCAGCTGTGCTGCTGTATTATCTTAGTATAGACGGACCCTCAACCCCACGCTTAAAATTCCGTTTAACTCAAGGCAGAATATGGGGTGTAGCTGAAGGCAGAATGTGACCCATTTATGTGCTTTTGCAGTGTGTAACATCATATGGACAAAGGAGCTGGCAGGAGGATGGAAAATGAAGCAGGAAAAATGGAACCTAGAGTTGAGGGGGGGACAAAAATATTGTTGTTTTATGAGATATTTGCCATGATATACACATATATATGAACACGTTGCATGAGGGATACTCAGTCTCACAGGAAACTCAAAGATTTCTTTGTATCTGGAGTGCCATGCATTGCATGTTAAAGATACGTGAAATCAAAAATAGTGTACTGAACTTGTAGTCCCCTCCGGGCTGGGTTGCAGCTGAGTGTGGTTTGAGAGAGAGGCTGGAGAAAAGGAAATAGAAACAAAGGGTTCTCTGGGGTAAGAATGCCTTGTATGCTAGTTCTAGAGGTGGCAGGCACTGCTGGGTATGCGTGCTCCGGTTGTGTTACAGGTTTGTTGGATTTTTGACAATGTAGTTTTGCCTCATTCCTTTAGAGACCCCTGGTTCTTTAATATTGTCTTGTGCACCTCTAGTTTCTAGTTTTTTCTGCTTTACATCCCATATTCCTATCATCTCCCTTCAGCTTGGTTCTCCCTGACTTGTTCTCCCCGTTGCAGAGCAATTCCTCTTTCCTCTGTCCCATTCTTTGATTCATGTGTATTGGCCAGCAATGGGCTACCCCACCAATCCACTGCTGTGTGGACTCTTCTAAAAGGCATGGCTCCAAGTGGACAGCTTTGTACAGAGTCTATTTGGCTGTAGAAAAAGTGGCACTTCAGCTTTGACCATAAAATATGTTTTAAAAAGACTGAGCCAGCAAAAGTGACAACAGAGCAGAGGACTATATTTAAAAGCAGAGGTGGGCTCAGGCTGCAAAATTCAGATCCAGAGACATGTTGAATTCAAACAACGCAATTCTGGGGGTGTCGAACATCCCAGATGATGGGGGTGTTTGCAGCTGCGGCTTTCATTTAGCCAATTATAAATATATGACGATTTGAAAAAATTCATAACTTGATTTGGTTACAGATTTTGAACACTAAAAACAGAATATTGGTACGGGTCCATGTCTCTTTAAAAATTAAAGTAAAATGCAAAGAAGAATGCTTAAAGCAGGCCAACAGAGAATTGTGTGAGTGAGTGTGTATGTGAGAGAGAGAGAGAGAGAGAGAGAGCATGAGGTTCAGAATATGAGCCAAATTCTCCTCTTTATCCACATTTGTTTCCTGGATCCTGGAAGCTGGCCTGCACACTAAGGAACCCTATGCCAAGAACTCTGGCATGTTCTCCTTGTCCCCAGCATGTCCCCTGGGGATGGCTAGCAAAGGGAAATTATGCTGTGGCCAGAATCTGGTCCCTTGTGCTGCCAGAATTGTACAAAGTAGCCAGATCATAAATTATTCTTATTTTTTTTAGTAAGAACATTTACCTGGCTAAATGAATTACCAAGCACTAATAACTAATGTATGAATTAATTAGTGACCACTAATATACAGAGAAATCAGTTTTCTCTCTCACTTTTATCCCACTCGTAAGCCATGCTTTTCCCTGCTGCAAACTCACCTCAATCCCCTCCAGTCTATTCAAATGCTTCTGCTAAAATTATCATCTTCTACCAGAACCCACCCCATGTCACTCCCCTCTTTGAATCCTTTCACTGGTTTCCCTTTGCCTTACGCATCCAGTTGAAGCTAGTCATCCTCACTTTAAGAGTGCTGTGCACCAGCACATCACAGCTCCATTTATACATATCTGTTTGGACTATTGTCTGTGTGGCTCTCTAATTTAGAGTGCAAGCTTCATGGGGCAGGGACCATGTTTTCCTTTAGGTTATGTGCCGTGCTGAACACGGTGCAGCTCAGCAAATATTGGTAATAAATGTTCACAGAGAGAAATCTGAGGAAAGAAAGAAAATATGACCAAGAAACCATGGGCTGTAATTCATTGCTCTCTTGAGGTCTAATTCTGCAAGCCCTTCACTTATAGAATTACCATCAAAATCAGTAGTTCTGTACATGCAATGCTGGTGCAACCAAACCCTTAAAATCAGATAACCCTCGAGGCCACAGAAGAACATGTTATTTATGGCATCATTGGGGTAAATCCACCTGTGTTTCATTTTTAGATAAAATTAGTTTGTTTCCACTTTTTCCAATATTTTGGTGACAAAAAAGCACGTGAGCAGGCCTCTTTTACCAACTGCTTCCCGCCCCGCTGTTAAGTGTTTTGTGCTTACCAGGGCTGACCAACAACCTGTAAATCTTTCCAGGTGCTTTGCAATGCAGGGAAGAAATAGAATGATGTTTGTTGACTTTTGGTCAGCATGTATCACAATTGATTTTAAACAGGGAAACAAGGAAATGGTACTGTATATTTGTTGCTCTCTGATTCAGTAGTGAGGTTGTGTTACCCGATAGCCAGAAGAGGGCAATAGAGAAGCACAGTTTGTGATACTTGAAGAATTTGAAACACTGATTATATGTTTATAAAAAAGAAGAAGAAAAGAAGAACCAGGAGGGTAGGTTGTTCAATTTACTAGTGGAGACCTGTCTGTGATGGATCACCGAGCAAACAAATAGTCAAAGAAAGATAGGGGAAAAGACCTTGCATTGTGTCTCAGTGTCTTTTTTTTTCTCAGCGTTACGTATGATAACTTAGCAGGAACTTATTGCTAACTGGATGGTAAATGGACTCAGGAACGAAGTGGGTGATGCAGGAATGCACTCTTTGGAAGGAACAGAAGAGGAGGCATTTCAAAGATCCTGCAGGTGACTGAGGTGAGCAAACTAAAAGCTTCTCTTTCAAGTGAGATAATAGGCATTCAGCTGACTATATCAAAGACATGAGTAAACTGAGCGGTTGAAATGCTGTGAGATATCTGCTTTTTAAGCAAGCTGTGATGACACCAATATTGTCCTGAAAGTCAGGAGAGTGATGATGCAGAAGTAAGCATCTCCATCCATCCATGCTTACCTACAATATTCAGGCGGTAAAGCAAGTAAACGGTTATTTGTTTGATATAGAATATTTCTTGTTAGAACTATTGAAAAGGTGGTTAGCATTTTCCAAGGTTTCTGCATTGAGGTGCCTCATCTGTAGTTTACAGAGGCAAATATATAGGTGGAGTAACTATTATTGTGCCTTTGTGAGTGGATTTTTGTTGAGCTTTGTGAGAAATCTGAGCTGGAAGTCTGGAGAAATTCACTCCCATGCTTTTGAAACACAGTGGAACTGTTCTCGGGTTTTACAAACGCTTTCTCATGAGAAAGGTACTGGGATGTGAAAACAAAGCACACAAAGATAATGAAAGGCAAGAGTTAAGTCACAGAAATCAGAGGGCTTTCTGAAAAAAGGAGAAACTGAGGGACAAAAGTTGAGAAATAAATGTGAAACACTTTTCTATTGCCACAATCAAGGCCAGTGGAACAGTAACATTTGGAAAATAACCCCAGGATTCTAGGAGCCAGTTAAGCAGCACAGGTTATCAGATGATACACTTCCACTTCAACAGCCACCTGTATCAGAGAAGTGACTAAGAGGAAATATTTGGGATGTGGAAGATCAAGAATAGGAGCATCAGTATTCTAAGGATATCATGCTAAAAACACAAGGGTATCTAGAGGTCAGGCAGCAAGTACCCATCTGAAACAAGACGGACTCCTCATCAAAGAAGAGGGATAGGAAAACACTCAAAAATACCCACTAGCTTTGAAGGGCAGGCAAAGCAAAACTACCTAATGTTATATCCCCACTGAACTTGGGTATTAGGAATTCAGTATCCTGGAATTCCTATCAGAGGGAGATGAAACATAATATTTATAAAGTATGTTGGTAATAATAGTTTATATGGGAATATCTGTGAATCTGAAAGTTACAAGTTCAAGTTCAAATTCTTAATTTTTTTTGCATTTACCTTGTTTCCTGTGCTATAATGCTTCTCGCAGAGCCCAAAATCCTATAGTACAGCAGATAACAGAAATTACAGATGGGCTTGAACCAAATTTCAGATACAAACACACCTGAACTTTGGGATTCAGGATTTGGATCCAAACTCTGCAGTTCAAAATCTTCTCTTATGGAAGTTATTAGTAATTCATCTGAAACTGGAAGTTCTCTGAAAGTCTTACAATCAAAATTCTGTAACAGCTGATGTTTGTTTGTGATGCAGTTACCATGGTTGCATTGTGTTTGGTGGAGATTTCCCCCAGGGCCAGATTTCTATGAATGTGAGCATGGAGAAATTTCCACTGTTATAGAGGAGTGCAGAGTAATTTAGTTGTAAGAGCTGAGAAATGGGAACCATTACTAGTTCTAATCCTAACTTGGCTTTGCCAGTGACTCACTATGTGGCTTTGGGGAAGTAATTTAATCTCTGTGCTCAGTTTATTCAGCTGTAAAATCGGCATAATACCCAGAGTAAAGGCCAAATTGTGACTGGCACTGCGTGGATATACAAGAAGCAGAGTGAGAATACGAGAAGCCTTCCTCCTCAGTACCGCCATCAGTGGTGCTCTATGACGGGCTCAGACAACGTGGCTGTGAAATCCTGCAGTAGGTGCGAAATTGTCCCTATACCAGTGCTGGGTGCGAAAGTGTCTCTGCTGGCTTAACTTGCATGAGTAGTATAGAAATTTCAGAGACTCCACTCAGATTCCGGAATCTATCCTGCTAATAAATGTATTAGTTGTCACATATACCAGTCTCTTTAACAACATGTGAGGTAGCCCCTACTGTCAGGTTTATCAATGTGCACATGAAATGTCCCAAGCATTCGGGGTCATTTACTGATGTACTGCGGCAGAACTAGGATTGCTATTTCAGCCTCTTGCTGAAACAGCAATTTTCTCCTTTCCTGATGAGTCGTGTGTGTTTCTTTCAGATGCCTGTAGATTTCCCAACCCCGCTTTTCTACACTTTATACCCCAGCCCCTACCCCTGAAGGCTCTGCTTGCTGGCTCTCATCCTCCCAGGTAAGAAGGACTGGATGGAACACTCTTCAGCAGATGACAGTTCCACACCTTAATTAAGTGGAGAGTTACTGTTGAGTGATATGAGGCATTTCCTCCTCCCCCGGAGCCAAAGGTGCTGCCACAGCAGCATTCCCAACCTTTTCCAGCCTGGGGCATGACAGATCAGTGCTGGCCACTGAGCCGAAGTTTACTGCATGGCAACACAGCGTGCTACCACTAGGCCACCAGGCCACAAAGGGAGTCATGTTAATCAGAGCAAGGCAGCTTTAGATATTCTCCATATTGGCTCTATTAGCGGCAACATAGAGGAGCCAGACATTTCAGGAAAACACGTACATCATTTTGTTTGTTCTGGTGCAGGAGGGGGCAGGGGAAGCATCCAGTCCACCCATTTTTATTATTATTATTTCCTACATTCATAACTTAAGCCTGTGCTGTCTTTTTTTGTTGTTCCTTGCTCCTTACAGATTACCCTGAGGAAAGCACTGATGACTTTTTTTTGGTGGTGGGGGGGGAGGTCCACCCTGCATTATTTTTAATGCCTTGAAAATGAGAAGTAGAAAATAAAATATAGCTATTTACAATAAAAAACAATGTCAGTGGAAAAGAATCCTCACAGATTTATTTTTCTCATCCCTGGAAACATTTGGTTAGCCTGCTTGGGTGGGTTAACAGAGAGACTCATCAGAATGCAGCAGTTGAGCCAATTGCAAAGAGAAGCAACCGTTACAAGGCAATAATCCCTGCTCAGACAGAAGAGTGAGTGATCACAAACGTATTTGTATCATAAAGTTTGATCTGGTATCTGAGAAGCCTCCGCGGTTGTTGATTCCTTCCATTTTATCAACGAAAGGTTGGGGGAGAGGGAGAACTTGGAGGAGACTTCAGTTAAAGTATCTCAAATAACCCCAAATTTTGAAAAGATTAAGGTCAGGATCAGGGGTTCTGTTCTCAGTAGAATAGTTTGACCATCTGTAGTGCCCTCACCGCTGCAGGCACTAGTTAGCAGCCTTGTAGGCCAATTTAGGCTGAGTTTTTCAAAGCAATCTAGGGTGCTTAGACCCACATACATTCCATTTGTTTTAGCCATAACCAACCTAGACTATTTTGGAAATCTGAACCTTACATATGACAGTAATGGACATAATATAGATACATAGAGAGAGTCGGGGGAGGGGACAGGTACCTAGAGAGGCCGGTAAGTTGATGGTGGTTATGATGATATAAGAGAGCGAGAGAGAGTGCTCTAAGCCGAGAGCACAATAACCAAATAAACCTGGGGCCTGTAGTACCCTCTTACCCACATAGACATGGTACTTCTCAGCTCACAGTTGAAGCACACAGGCAGTGTGGGAAAGCCTACAGTGCTGTATCTGTGTTGTAGATCAGTGGTTCTCAACCGGGGGTATTGTGTACCCCTGGGGGTACACAGAGGTCTTCCAGTGGGGTACATCAGTTTATCTAGATATTTGCCTAATTTTACAACAGGCTACATAAAAAGCACTGGAAAACTCAGCATAAATTAAAATTTCATCCAGATAATGACTTGTTTATACTACTCTCTATATACTATACACTGAAATGTAAGTACGGTATTTATATTCCAATTGATTTATTTTATAATAAGCAATTTTTCAGTAATAGTGTTCTGTGACACGTTTGTATTTTTATGTCTGATTTTGTAAGCACGTAGTTTTTAAGTGAGGTGAAACTTGGGGTAGGCAAGACAAATCAGCCTCTTGAAAGGGGTACAGTAGTCTGGAAAGGTTGACAGCCACCATTGTAGATGGAGCACTTCAGTCTGCAGGGCTGTGGCACCTCTCACTGACCCTAAATTTCACTTTTATGGTAAATAGTAATTTAAAATGGAGAGGAAGAAATTATTTCTTGAATCTGATGCAGCCATGGTAAAGCAACAGCTCCACACAGAAGACGAGTCTAATTAGGACAGTATAAGTGGCTTGATATGGGATGGAAAATCATGTTCTTCTTAGTAAGGTCTTTATTGTGGTCATATATTCTGCAACAATTTCCCACGCTTAACTGAGGTATTCTTTTTAAACGTGGCCTGGCTGTGGAAGCTTTTTGGGGGGCTTGTTTCTTGAAGAATCCTGGGGTAGGGGAGGGGTAGGGAGGAAACCCAGTAGTAGAACATTCAGTAGAATAATTCTGTCTGGCATGTCAGCACTCTGATCCATCATTCTGAGCCAAAAAAGGTCCTAAGCAGCCAGGTGTGTTTATGTGATATGTACCCCTTGAAATTTCCTGTCATTGTCGATGTCTGAGAGTCAGTTTGTTTCAGTGCATTGTCTTGTGTGAATGTAAGCTGATGAGGGATCCACAGGTGCACCCGCATGTTGGGCAGATGTGGGCACTGGTTTTTGCTACAGGCAGACTGTTTTCTTTACTCACACTTCTTTTTGGCTTTTTCTGTTCTGGTGTTCTCAATGGCTTTAACTGCAGACAAATAGGTCTGCCACCATCCTGATCTGTCCACAGCAGCAGCAGCTTCCGGTGTGTTGGGGATGACTTGGCCAACTTTTAGGTGCGCTTTGAAAGTGTCCTTATGCCATTTTTATTGGCCTCCCAGTGTATGTGCCCCTGTTTTCAACTGTCCATAAAATATGACTTTGGGGAGTCGTGTGTCATTGATATGTACGAGGTGACCAGCCCAGCTAAGTTGCACCTGTATCATTAGGGACTCAACGGTAGTCATGCAGAACTAGTCCAGGACTTCAATGTTTAGTATCCTATCTGACAATTTGACGTTACAGATGAGATGCAGACTGTGTATGTTAAAATGCTCTAATTGCTTCAAGTGCCTGCTATAAAGTGTCTGTGTTTCACAGCTATAGATAAGAGTGCTTAACATGATTGCATGATAGACACTAATCTTGGTGTGAACTCAAATACCTCAAAGACTTCCAGGGGGGAGAAACCCAGTAGTAGAGCATTCAGGAGAATAATTCTGTCTAAGCATCACAGAACATTCTGCTCAATCATTGTGGGCCAAAAAAGGCCCTAAGCAGCTGTCTGTGTGTATATGAAATGTACGTAGTTCTCAGTTGGTTATGATCATATATCTCTTTGAAGCATAGTCATAGATGGCAGGACTGCGGTGAAAAATTCCATTGAGATGCTACTTTCTGTTTTAATTTGTGCATATGATGACTCTCTTTCTCTTGCTGTTCCTAAAATGTTCATAGATGTCTAGGAGCTGCAGTGTATTGATGCATTTCTTTTTTTACTTCTGAAGATTTGGGTTCCCATTAAGGTTTAGGTCACAAGTAGAGATGGGCCCTTCTGCTGAAGTTTGGCTCCAGATCAGAATCCAGGGTTCCAGAGACAGGCCTGTGGTGTGATTTTCAGATTCAGAGCCTTCCCAACATTTGGAACCAGTATTCTTCTTCAGACCCAATTCTAGTTGTAAATCGAGTTGCGGTTAAACCACTTCACAAAGTCTCCACATCGTTTGCCGCTGTTTGACATGATTGACAGTCCGTACTATAGAGAGGTAAAAAATTGGACTAACAGAGGAACAGGGGCAAAGGAGAGAGGGGTGGGAAGCCAGGAAGTGTTGGAGGGTCAGATTAAGGTCTATTGGCAGAACTGTGTGCAGAAGCATTCCTGGTGCCCACCATTTTGTTGCCTGGCTCTTGCTAGTACTGTTCTTCATTTTTTTAAGTGCCCAGACACCATGGTAATGAGAGAGAGAGAGAGAGAGAACAGATATGTGTTCCCTTCATGAGAACATTACCAGTCTAATAGGCACCAACCATGTGAAAAAACATGGTATGTTTGTGCACTGGCCCTTGTGTACTGCTGATGTAATATTTGTTTCATTGTTATTGATATTAAAACCAGGGAAAAGGCCTCGGAAGTTAAGCCAAACATGTTTTTGCTCTGTTAAACTCTGATAGGTCGTTAGCTGCTGAGTGACCTTAGTGAACCTAAGGATGTTGCTTGTCTTTGAAAAGTCATAAACAGTGGCTGAGATTAATGTTGGTTGGAATGACAACCAGTGAGTGACAAGCACATTCCTGTGTCTCATCCAAATCTGAAGTCTCACATCTGAATGGCTCACACATGGGATATGTGCTAAGATCCTTTTATTTCAGTGATGTTGTCAGTCAGGACCCGAGAACCATTCTTGACAACATTATTATTTCTGAGCTTCCTTGTTTCCATTATTGTGATGTCATCATTGTGGGGTTACTTTGAAATAAATTTGAGGGGGTGTTTAGTACATAGGTACACTGTGCCTTCATCTCACTCTCCTTTCCCTCCCCAAGAGTGTTCCATTTTGATAATCACCCTATGAGCATGTGCAAGTTGAGCCTGGGCTAGTTCATCTACCTGCTGACAGATCTCTGCACATGTTCTTCCACAGAATCTGGCAAATCTTTGGGTTGTTTTCTGGATGCGAGGGGGTTATATTTTATGGTTTGGGTTATCCACCCATATTCTGAGTTGAACCTAGGCTAGAGATGAGCTTGGGCCACTAACTTTAGATTCAGATCCAAACTTCCCAGAGTTCCTGGCACTGGGACTCAGAGAGTTTTTATTCGGCTCATTATAAAAGTAGGGTCCAGCTACAACGTTGGGATCTGGATCTGAATATGAACATCACTTGCATTCTGAGGTGTTCATGCAAATACACTGGCTTAATGTCTCCAATGACTCTAATACCTACTACTCGTTGACAGCTGAAGGAGCGCTCCTTCACCTAAAATGGTAGAGGACAGTGGTTTTATTGCTGAAGAGTCCTGGGTTTGATAACAGCTGATGACCACGGTGTTTGTATGTATGCAATTACAGTATGTTACATTCAGAGGTGGAGTTTGGCCTCATTTCTAATCAAGATTAGTCTCCGTGGGGTCTGAGCAGGCAGAGTACTGGACAGGATGCATAACCCCAACCCTTGAATATTCGTTTTTTGTAGAGCAGAGTAAACATTTTCTTCTCCCAAATGCCTTGGTAGTTTCCTTCTCCAGCACACT